GCTGGGGCGTCCGAGCCCTGCAGACCATCCCCCAGGGGACCTTCATCTGCGAGTGAGTGGGTCCAGGGGTACCTTGGCCCCTGGGGGTAAGGGGCTAGGCCGCAGCCACTGCTGACTCTCAGGCCTCCCTCTCTGCCCTTCTCCCTGGCGGGCCCCATCTCTTTTCACTAGTCCTCCAGCCAGCCTCTTTTGCCCAGCATCCCCACATCCAAGTGCCCTACCTGCCACCGCTCTGCTCAGACCACAGAGCTCTCCATCACCACTGCCCACACCTTTCCTCCTTTCCCCTCTATTTCCCAGCCTCACACATCCTCTCCCTGCCCTTCTGAGCTGGGGAAAGCAGCAGTTTTGGAGACAGACATTGGTTTGAGCCCCACTCTGCTGCTGGGTATTCTTGGCTAAGTTACTTCACCTCTTTGAGCCTCATTTTTCTTGTCAAAATGGATGTGATACCACCTGTTCACCTCAGGGCCCTCATTCCTATCAGTTCTCTGCCCAGCATCTGTAACCTCTGCCTGTCCCCTGGCTCCTATTCCATAGTCTTCAGACTTAATCTAGGTCTCCTTTAGCCTTTCAAATAAAAAAAATAAAAATAAAAATAAAAAAAAAAAAACGCTTTTGCCCCATTTGCCTATTTAGGGGCCATTCATTTTCTCTCAGTCATGTCATCTCTCAGCTTCTCAAACAGCCCCTTCCTCCTGGGCCTTAGTTTCTCCACCATTGGCTCACTGCTCATCCTTACCAAAATCTGCCTTTGTCCTCACCCCTGGGCTGATGCTATCTTTCAACATTCCTCTACCATACCCCCTGCTCCATGTTCCTCGATATTTGTTTTCCTGGCATCTGCCACTTCCTTAGCTCTGGCTCCTATGACGCTGTCTTAACCTCCAACCCATCCATCTTTTCCCCTTACCAGCTCCTCCCTCTCTGCTTTACAAATGTGGGCATCCTCACCCTTGGCTCCTTCCTGGAGTTCTCACAGGTCCTGTGGCTCGGTCCCTTCCTGCATCCCTGACCACTCTCCTGTCCTTCCACCTGAAATTGCCACCACCTGCTAGGTGATTCCTAGTCCACAAACCTTCCAGTGTCTAAACCTGAACAAATTTCCCCACCCAAGCCAACGGCCTACAAATAATGATCCCCAAACACCAGAGGCTTGGTGTTTTTGTGCTTGCCCGAGTCTTCCTCAGCGCAGCTCCAGCCCTTCTCTTCACCTCTCCTACCACTAATTCTCCAGCTCTCCTGGCCCACTGACCTCTAGACTGTTCCCTATACTTGTCAGTCCTCCCTGTTCTAGCTACTCAGTGTGGACCCCAACTGGCGGGAGTGTGCCTTGTATTGACCCCTCACATGCCTATGTCCCCATGTTCCTCTTCCTGATCCCCCCCTCCAGAGCAGGCCACCCACTTCCTCCCTCACAGATGATGTCCACTGCCCTCCAGGCCCACTTATGCCTCAGGTCACCCAGCCCAGTCCCAGCAATGTTGCTCTGTAAGATTTAGACACTGACTGGGGTAACTGACGTAGTGGAAGAGAATTCTGTGTGGTTGTGAGGAGAGACAGGGCCTGCAGCCAGCTCCCAATAACCCCTGCTCACCTTTAGAACCCTCTGCTTCCTGCCCAACAGGTATGTCGGGGAGCTGATCTCCGATGCTGAGGCCGATGTGAGAGAGGATGATTCTTACCTCTTCGACTTAGACAACAAGGTGAGCCAGAGACCCCTCTGTCTCCTACTTCCAGTAGCAGCTGGAAACCTGGGTGGTCAGTGGATGGGGACTTGTCCAGGCACAAAGGGTAGTGGTAGATGTGAAGAGTGCTGCTTTCCCCTCAGGATGGAGAAGTGTACTGCATTGATGCCCGTTACTATGGCAACATCAGCCGGTTCATCAACCACCTGTGTGACCCCAACATCATCCCTGTTCGGGTCTTCATGCTGCACCAAGACCTGCGATTTCCACGCATTGCCTTCTTCAGTTCCCGAGACATCCGGACTGGGGAGGAGCTGGGGTGAGGCAACCCGGGGCTTAGCCAGGGGTGTGGGAAACAGCAAGCTTGAGACCAGCAGCTGAAGGCTAGAGAGTGCTTGATTTGCAGGCATATATTAGAGCAGACCTTCTCAGCTGTCCATGTGCAGAAGTGTCCCTGGAGGGCTTGTTATAGTTGAATAGTCCAGAGCCTCACAGATTTCGATTCAGTAGGTTTGGGATAGGGCCCAAGACTGCATTTCACACAATTTTCCAGGCAGTGCTGGTGCTGCGGATCCATAGAATGTACGAGGACTTCGAGCCTGTCAAGAGATGATGGGGGTGGGTGCCACAGTCTCTTTTGGGGAGCAGGACCCACAGAGGTTTTGGAGGGGGCCTGGGCAGCTGGGTCTTGGTCCCACACGCCTCTTGTGCTCCTCTAACAGGTTTGACTATGGTGACCGCTTCTGGGACATCAAAAGCAAATATTTCACCTGCCAGTGTGGCTCTGAGAAGTGCAAGCATTCAGCTGAGGCCATTGCCCTAGAGCAGAGCCGTCTGGCCCGCCTGGACCCCCACCCCGAGTTGCTGCCTGAGCTGGGCTCCCTGCCGCCTGTCAATCCCTGATAGCGGACCACATTATCCCACCCCCAGCCACCAGCTCAGCAGCTGCCTCTGTCACTTGCTGTTCACAGCTCACACCCATGGGTGATGCCATCTTCTTTCCCCCTAGCCCTTCACACATTCCTTGGCCAGAGACCCCAGCCAGGCCCTGGAGGTCTGACAGCCCCTCTCTCCCAGAGCTGGTTCCTCCCTGGGTGGGTGGACTTCAGGGCTGGTCATACCCCTATTCCCCATCCTCAGCTGAAGTTCGATGAATTGAAATGGGCCTCTATACCAACTGGTTTCCTTTGTTCTCAATAAATATTGGGTTTGGTAATAAACAGGGTGATTTTTGGGGGGTGGCAGGGGAAGAAGCATGCACAGACAGAATGTGGATCTAAGGGGCAGAGCAAGATGGGAAGCAGGGTGGACAGGTGTGCCTGGTGTGGACAGTCGCCCAGGGGGAAGGAAGGGTGGTGGTGGGGCCACTGTAGGCAGGGTCTAGTCAAGAGCTAAAAGGCAAATCTCAACACTTAATCTTGGCTGGAGGGTAGGGGTGCGAGTGTACTACAGTTGAGGTAGTTTGCAGATTTTTGAAGTATTCTTAAGAGCATTCCAGGTCTTTTAGGACATTGTCCGTTGGGGCCCTGCAGCAAGCCCCTGAGCACCTGTCCCTGGCTCTGCCTTCCGGCCCTCCACCTCCTCCCTCCACGAGAGTTAAGGAAGCACGAGAGTCTCGGGGACCACAGGTGGAGGTGGGGCTGTGACGTGGGAGGGCGGGGCAGGCAACAGGTGAGTTGCTAGGTCTCCCGGGCTCCATTCACTCCGGAGACAGCCATGGGGGCGAAGCAAGACAGGGACGGGGACGAGGCCTATGGTGAGGCTGGGGGAAGGTGGGGTGGAGGCCAGGACCCTGCAGAGGGAGGGAGGGAGGCCTACCTGGGCGGCTCCAAGGAATGGTGTCTGGGGCTGGTTCCAGGGAGAGGAGCTAGGGGAAGTCCTAAGTCCCTGAGGGGAGGATCGGCAAACAAGCTGACAGGAGGCAGAGCCAGAGTCCAGGGACGAGGTTGGAGTTCAGGGACTGGAGGCCATTAATGAGGAGCATTTGGGGAGTGAAGCTGGGGTCTCCAAGAGTAGTTGGGCCTGGAGTCCTTGAGAGGAGGGGTTTCAGGCTTGGACTGGGGCGTGTGGGGACAAGGATAGGGCCCAGGCTGGGAGTGTCATTTTCTGTAGAGCCTGCAGCCTGTGAGAGATGAGGCTGGCCGCTGGGCTCCAATCAGAAGGAATGGCTGGGGTCCCTGAGAGGAGTTTCAGCCTGGACCCTGGGTCTCTGAGGAGGAAAGGTGTTGGGGGTCTGCCTAGCGGGGTCTCTGTGAGCGATGACAGGGGAAGTGGGTTGTGCTGGGGCCTCTGTGAGGACTTGTGGCTGAAGGTCTTTATGGAGAGGGGGCTGGATGGACCTGCCTCTCTTAGGAGGGGAGCCTATCTGGGGGTATTTTGAGGAATAGGGGCAGGGGCCTTCTGGGGTTCCTATGAAGGATAATGCCTGAGGAGAGGGGGAGCAAGGAACCTATCTCCAGAATCTCTGAAGAAAGAGGGCTGGGAGCCTGTCCCAGGGATCTGAAGATTAAGGGTGGACAGGTATGCCAGGAGAGGGACTTAGGGACCACCAGCCTCTGGGATCCCTGTGAGCAGTGAGGGCAGGGGCCTGCCTGCAGAATTCCCTTGGGGCTTTGAGGGAGGCCTCGAGGGGAGAGAACCCCGAGAGAGGGACCTCCAAGAGCTGACGCTTGGGTCTTAAAGAGGGCTGGCAAAGGGGCAGTGAGGACTTCCCAGGAGACTTCCTTGAACAGCTTTGGATCAATCATTGACCTCATGTCCAAGAGCCATGAAGGGACAGAGTCCAGAGCACCTGCCGAGAATGGACCCCACCCCTTCCCACATTCTTGCCCAGCCCTCTGCCCTCCCTCCTCAGTGCCCACTCAGGACCCTGTCTGCCTGGCCCCACCTCCTCTCTGTGTGTACTCAGGGAGGAACAGGAACAGGACACAGCCACAATCTCAACCACAGAGCTCAGGTGTCACCCTAATTTGATTGCTTGCCCAGAGACTTGCAGTGGCCTAGAGACCGAGGTCTCAAGTGGGGGTCGAGAGGAGGCTCCTCCCTCACCAGGCCCTGTAGGAGTTGATGTCTTGGCTCCAGTTTCTTTCTTCATAGCCTTGGGCAGGGGCTACAACCTCCCTGAGGGGCTCCATCTGTGCCCACTCTGAGTGGAATAAGTGACCCTTAAAGGCTCCTCCTCCCCTTCCTCTAAGGCTACCTGAGTGGTGTTCATGGTGAGCAATTGACCTGCTGACCAGGCCTTGATCCTACCTTTTTATGCACTCCAGTTTCCCTGTCCTGCCAGCCTGCCCCCATCCATTTCCTTGTGAACCCCTGAGGGCAGGGAAGGATTTGGGAGAGATGGGAAATGGAGAGAGAAATTCCTCTCAGTACCTCACTCTCAACACTGCTTCCCATACCCCTTAGGGAAACCAGTCAAATATGACCCTTCTTTTCAAGGCCCCATCAAAAACAGGTGAGTTCTGGGCACTGAACTAGTGGGGGCAGGGGTATCTTGTTTTTGCTGTGTATTTGCTGAAATATCGGTAAGAGGGTTATGAAAAAGAAAACTCCTGCCCAAGTACAGTGGGGGCATTGTCATGTGTAGAGGGGACACAGAAGCTTCCAGGGTGCTGGTGATATTCTGTTTCTTGACCTGGGAGCTGGTTACACAGGCGTGTACCCAGCGGGAAAATTTTTCCAGCAAAGCGCTTAGGAGTTAGGCACTTTTTTCTTATACTTCAGAGGAAAGTTTACCCACTCAGAAAAAGGTTTTCTTTGAAAAATGAAACCTACTGATCGATGCCCATTCTCCAGCATCCCCCAGTTCTCCAACCCATGACTTCCCCAGACCATGCCCAACATCTCTTCTCCAAAAGCTTCCTCCATTTCTCTCCCAGGAGTTGCACAGATGTCATCTGCTGTGTCCTCTTTTTTCTCTTCATTCTGGGTTACATTGCAGTGGGGACTGTGGGTGAGTTTCCAGCTGTGCAGAGCTGGGGCAGTGGCTGGAGGGTAATAACCCAGGGAGGGACCATACCCATGGCTGCTCCCTATGAAAAGTCCTTGCCCTCCCTCTCCAGTGATTCTTCTGTGTGTTTCTGTGTCCAGCCTGGCTGTATGGAGACCCCCGGCAAGTCCTCTACCCCAGGAACTCTACTGGGGCCTACTGCGGCATGGGGACAAACAAGTGAGTGTGGAAGAAGGGCAAGAGGGAGGTGAGGTCAGGGATGAGCAGGGGACACCACAACATTCAGGCTGCAGACTCTTTCTCTGTCGTCCTCCCACCCCCATCCTCCCACCTCCTTGAATCTTACCGCTCCAGGCCAGCACATTGAGTAGCTTCCATTGCTGGGCAGTTGGCTTCTAAGCCACCCCCAAATTGGGAGGCAATGTAGGGTCATGAGTAAGCCACATGGGTTTTGGACTTCAGAGACTGGCCTTTGAAACCCCAGCTAGGCTAAGTAGGTTCTGGTTGTGTGGCCTTCAGCAAGGTACTCCACCTCTCTGAGTTTTGATTTCCTCAACTGAAAGGCAAGGATGACCCCAGAAGTAATGCTGTCAGTACCCATAGGCAGGAAACAGTCAACAGCAATAAACCTCTAGCATTTATTCTGTTCCAGGCAGGCAGTGTACTTTATACACACAAACTCATTTAAACCCTATGGAGTGGGTACTATAATTTTACACATGATGGAACAGAGGCAGTGAGAAATTAAGTGACTTGATCGAGGTCACAAAGCTGAGTATTGATCTGGCTCCCATGTTCATGCTCTCAATCATTTGTAAGCATGAATTGCTCAGCTCTGTCTGAACAATCTGCATTGCTGAATGAGTCTGAGAAATCTTTTCAGTGTCTCCCGTACCTCCCAGCTGTATTGAGCTGCCCAAGGCCATGACCTGGGTGGTGCATGTCTGAGCCACTGTACTCTTGAGGTACGGCGAGTTGTCCCTGCTGACCCCAACACCTGACACACATGCTTCCACCCCTCTTGCAGAGATAAACCCTATCTCCTGTACTTCAACATCTTCAGCTGCATCCTGGCCACCAACATCATCACAGTCGCCGAGCATGGCCTTCAGTGTCCCACTCCCCAGGTCAGAGCCTGGGGCCTGCCTCTGCCCAAATCTCCCCCAGGTCCAGGTACCAGCTCTTCAGCATGCCCTCTGCCTGCAGGTGTGTGTGTCCTCCTGCCCAGAGGTCTCATGGGTGGTGGATAAGAATGAGTTCTCACTGACAGTTGGAGAGGTCTTCTACACTGCAAACCGAAGCTTTTGTCTGCCAGGGGTGCCCTGGGATATGGTGAGCACTGGCCCCAATGTTATCACTATCATCGAGGATGGACCACATGGGTAGGGGTGCCAGGGGAAGCTGGGTAGATGACTGGTGGTAGTGGCAGGGGGGCCTCACTCCTCCATTCTGCTCTGTGTCTGTGTGTCTATCTGTCCTCCCCACACCCTCCAGCCAGTGCTCGAAAGCCTGCGACGAGAGCTCTGTCCCAGTTTCCTCCTCCCTTCCACTCCAGGTGAGAAGCTGCATTCCTTCCTCAGACATCAGCTTGTCCTATATTTTTATTGCTCAAATGAGGAAACCAGGCCCAGAGAGAGCAGTCGCACAGCTCAGTTACAGCGGTGTTTATTGTGCACCTGTGTGTACCAGGCATTGGGAATAGACACAGGGAAAATGACACCTGCTCCATGTTTGAGCTACGTGCTAGGTGGAAAGATCAGAGATGTTCACAAAGAGACCACATGGGAATCCCATGAAAACACACATGGCGAATATACCCACACACATTTACGTATATGCATAAAAGACAGGCTGGAAGAAGTTTATCCAAGTGTTACAAGTGAATGTAGCTGGGCAGTGGGATCACAGTTGACTTTTTTTAATTCTGTTTGCTCTTCTTTCCAATAGTAAATGTTATTTTTTTAATGAAAAAAAAAAGTTTTAATTATAGCATGAGAAAGGATATCCAGTTCTCAATATAAGTACAATAGAAAGGATCTCAAAGGAATGCTCCAAAGTCAAATCTAGATTTAAATTTCCAGCTGTGTGGTCTTGGGCCAATTACTCAACCTCTCTGAGCCTCGTTGCCTCACCTTTAGAATGTAAATGCCAAAGAAATTTTACCGGCAAAGTTGTTAGAAGGGTGATAATAAATGCTGTAGGCACATAATAGGTGCCACAGGACATGGCATAGGCTTCCTGGGGAAGGGGAGGTGGAGATGGAGCTAAATGGGGAGTGATGAATGGGATATCTGGAGGAGAGCGCTCAGAGAGGCTCAGCAAGAGTGAAGGTACAGTGATGAGGGGAAAGTGGCTGTGCTCAGATGGTGGGGCCTTGAAGCCTCACCATGAGGTGGGCACTGGAATGATGAGGCCTGTGCTGTGCCATGGTCTCCTTGGCATTTTGTCGGTGGCAAGGTTGGGGGTGGAGGCGTTGTAAGAGTCAGGCCAGAGGGGAGGAGGGTCTGACCCAGGCAGCAGTGCACAAAGGGAAGAAGGGGTCATTAAAAGACAGTGAAGGAAGCTTGGGCTGGGCTTCATAGGCAGGAACTTCCTTTTGGCTGTGGAATCAAGAGCAGCCCTCTGAAGGGGCAGAGCCCATCTCACCTTCCTCCCCTGAGGGCACTGTGGGCTGGGGTGGGAGTCAGAGACTTTCAAGGCAAAGCTCTGGGCCCTCCCACCCAGGAGCTGATTCTCTCCCTGCAGCTCTGGGGCGCTGTTTTCCATGGTACAATAGTACTCTGCCAGAACTCCCAGGGATCTCCAGCAACACCTCCATCACCCAGGGGATCAGGTGGGCACCCCCAGCCCCCACATCTCTGTCCTGTGCCCCTTCCAAACCACAGCCCCATCTGACTCTGTCTCTCTCTGCAGTGGTCTCCTTGACAGCCTTAATGCCCGTGATATCAGCGTTAAAGTCTTTGAAGATTTTGCCCAGTCCTGGTACTGGATTCTTGTGTGAGTCACTAGATTCCCCTTCTCCTTCCCTTCTCCCTCCCTGAGCCTCATCCCTTAGCCCAATATCTGAAACAGAGACTTTGGATGGGGGAGGAGGAGCCAGAGCTCAGAATGGACCCCAAACCCAACAGGATTTATAACATAAAGGGAACCAGGGGTGACCCTCACCTGTCTCACCCTACCTATAGTGCCCTAGGTGTGGCTCTGGTCCTGAGCCTACTGTTTGTCCTGCTTCTGCGCCTGGTGGCTGGGCCCCTGGTGCTGGTACTGATCCTAGGAGTGCTGGGTGTGCTGGCATATGGCATCTACTTCTGCTGGAAGGAATATCAAGTGCTGCGGGACCGGGGTGCCTCTATTACCCAGCTAGGCTTCACCACCAACTTCAGCGCCTACCGCAGTGTTCAGGAGACCTGGCTGGCAGCCCGTGAGTACCCTGCCCCACTGTGAGCCAGCTACCCAAGCGCTGCCTGAGCCATGCCCGGCTCTGGCCCTGACCCTGGCCCCTCTGCCTCTGTCCACCCTCAGTGATCGTGCTGGCTGTGCTTGAAGGCCTCCTGTTGCTCATGCTCATCTTCCTGCGGCAGCGGATCCGCATCGCCATCGCCCTCCTGAAGGAGGCCAGCAAGTCAGGGCCTGTCTGAGAGAGGGATGGGGCAGAGAGCAGGGGTGTGGGCCTGGGGTATGGGCCTGGGGTGGGTGTGCTAGGCAGGTGGCAGGGAGCCTTAGCGGAGAAGGGCAGAATAGCACAGTGGTTAACACTGCCATATGCAGTGATTAATACAGCTGAGTGACAGCCTTTCTGAGCCTCAGTTTACCCATCTGTGAAGTGGAGGCAGTCATTGTTTTTACCCTGTAGTATTGTCCTGAGGATGAAACGAGTTAATGTCTCAAGTGCCTAGAACATGAAGCAGGCCTTCCAGAAGAGTTGAACATGGAGCAGTTATCGTTGTAGTGGTGATGGTAGTTAGGTGGGATGGCAGGAATCCCGGCAGAGGGGAAAAGCAGCAGCTTGCTCCCAACCAAGACTCGCCTGCCAATTCAATTGGTCAAGACATCATACTTTAAGGACTCTCTCCCCTTACTCTCCCTGAAGCTGCCCCAGGTCGTTTCTCTGAGACTCTAGTTACCTGCTTAAATCCCTTAAACCTGATTTATTCAATTCAATTCACTTTGGGAACACCTACTGTGTCTAGTCTGGGAGATGGAGCAGGCCCTGGTGGGGCAGAAGTGGAGCTGGGGCCAGGGTCTTGCTGGTGGACAGCACTCATGTCCCTGCAGGGCTGTGGGACAGATGATATCTGCCATGTTCTACCCGCTGGTCACCTTTGTCCTCCTGCTCATCTGCATTGCCTACTGGGCCATGCTCGCTCTGTATCCTTTGCCCACATAGTTGGGCCCTCCTAGAGTCTGTGAGGGCAGAGAGCAGAAAGGAGAATGCTGGCCCACATAATGCCTGAGTGCAACGGGAAGAAGGAACCCCTCCCTTTGGGTAGGCACAGCCTGCCCTGGACAGAATTAGAAGAGTGAGCCCAGGCTGATTTCCAGCCCCTTTGTGCAGTGGACATCCTGCATGAGCACCTGGGAAGGAATCTTTGAGAAGGGGACGTGTGGAAAGCCCCATGTGACCATATTTTCCTTGACTCACCTCTGGGTACCTGGCCACATCAGGACAACCTCAGTATGTCTTCTGGGCGCCCAACATCAGCTTACCCAGCTGTGAGAAAGTGCCAGTGAATACGTCATGTGACCCCATGGTGAGGGATTCGGAGTGGACATGGAGGGGGCACGAATAGGGCCAAGGGGACCCTAGGGACCAACTGGTCCAAATGTCTCATTGCGCAAAGGAGACTGAGGACCAAAGAGGGAAAGGGGCTCACTCAAGGTCACAAGCCAGGCCCCCAGCAGAGCTCGAAAGGGAGCCAGTAACTCTCTAATGGTCCTCCCCTGAACCACCTATTACAAAGGGAAGGACACTGAGACCCTGGAAGGAGGCATGCTGTGCCTAAGGGTAGGGCCGGGCTCTAGGGAAGCTGGATACCAGAACTTCTGTACCTCTCCCCAGGACATTCCTCTTCCAGAGGACCATGAACCACCTCATCCAACTGAGTATCAGTCCACTCATCTGTAAAATGGAGCTAATCATAATACTGGTCTCTCAGGGTAGCCTAGAAGATTAAATGCCATTTGGTACATAAAGTACTTAGTTCAATGCTCGGCACCTGATAAGAGCTGATAACTGTAGATGGGTTTTGTTTAGTTGTTTTTTATTATTATTATTATTATTATTATTATTATTACTTTAATCTTCCTCCCTTGAAATAGTGCCCCAGGCAATAGGTAGGTGGGAAACTCTTGGGGGATTTAGGAGAGAAGGTGCTTCCCCAAACTCTCTCCTGAGAGATTGCCAGGAAGTAGCACTTGACCTCTGAGAATTTACTGTCTTCAAAGCTTTACTGTGGCCACCTGCTCTGAGCTGGGACTGGGGGTTCTGCCTGCAGGCATTAGCTCCGCTCTAAAAAGGGAGAGGAAATTTGGTTACATTTATAAAGGACTCACTATGTGCCAGGCACTGGCTATGCAAAACCCCAAATGACCTGGTTCTTGGTTTCAGCTTGCTCAGGAGCTAGCATTGGAGACTGACACAAACCCACAATTACATACAAAGCAGAAAGTGATTTGTTTTCTTATTACAAAATTTCAAGGTCTATGGCCATGCCACCCTGAATGTGCCCGATCTTGTCTGATCTCGGAAGCTAAGAGGGTCAGGCCTGGTTAGTACTTGGATGGGAGACCACCTTGGAATACTGGGTGCTGTAGGCGCTTAAAAAAATTTTCTTTTCAAACATACTTAGTTTCAGCAATTATCAGGATTGTTATCATACTTGCTAGAAAGGGTTATTTTTTATTTTTGTGCTTTTTACTTGTTATTAAGGAAATCTTCAAGCACATACCAAAGTAGAGAATTTCTGTACCCAGATTCCACACCTTTGACTTTCTACTGTTCTTGTTTCATCTTTCTCTCCACCCTCATTCCTAGCTGCAAATACTTTTTCTAGAGTTTAAAGCAAATCCTAGATATTATGCTCTTCCACCTATAAATATATCAGTATGGATATCAACAGATAAGGACTTTTAAAAAGCATAACCACTAACCATTATCACACCCAACAAAATTAACAATAATTCCTTAATATTATCTGATACCCAGTCTGTTCGATTTTGATGGAAAGCATTTTGGTTGAAGTTGCAGAAGATGCTCTGGGAAGGGACTGCTGACTAAATGCCAGGCTCTTGAGAACTAGGCGTTGGTCACACTGCCACCCCATACACACACTGTTAAGGCTTGGCCCACAAGGCCTGGGAGCTCCTATGCCTACCTAGAGACTGAAAGAAGTGAATTATGCTCACACATAGGTAGCCTGAACCCAGTTTAAACTTGGAGATGTATCTCCTGGAAGGAACCAGCTTCCCAGCTGGGGGAAGCTGCTACTTCCTTCCCTCTACTCTGGGAGTGGCAGGAGCTGGCTAGTAATGAGCCTACTCTGTGCCCCACAGGCTCAGCCCATGAACTCCTCGTGCCCAGGGCTGATGTGCGTCTTCAAGGGCTACTTGTCCACAGGCCTGGTACAACGTTTTCTCTTCAACTTGCAAATCTATGGGGTTCTGGGGCTATTCTGGACCCTCAACTGGGTACTAGCCCTAGGCCAGTGTGTACTGGCTGGGGCCTTTGCTTCCTTCTACTGGGCCTTCCACAAGCCCCGAGACATTCCCACCTTCCCCCTGAGTGCTGCCTTCATCCGCACACTACGGTAAGCCTGGGCTGGGAGCTGGGGAGTGTGAACTTGGGAGTCCCAGGGGTCCTGGAGCTGCCTCTGACGGCCTGATACCTCTGCAGTTACCACACCGGATCACTGGCATTTGGGGCCCTCATCCTAAGCCTTGTGCAGATAGCTCGGGTCATCTTGGAATACATTGACCACAAACTGAGAGGTGAGCAGAGGTCAAGGGCTGGGGAAGGCCCAGCTGAACAGCTGAATCCTTGGGCAGTCAGGGGCCAGTGTTCAAACCTGAGCCCCCTGTCCCCTAGGAGCCCAGAACCCAGCGGCCCGCTGCATCATGTGCTGCTTCAAGTGCTGCCTTTGGTGTCTGGAAAAGTTTATCAAGTTCCTAAACCGCAACGCATATATCATGGTGAGACCCACTGCCTTAGCAGCCCCTTGCTCCAGGGCCCAGACCCCCCACCAAGGCCCAGGTGAGCTCTCCACAGGTAACTCTGACCTTTCCACCTCACCCAGATCGCCATCTATGGGAAGAATTTCTGTGTCTCAGCCAAAAACGCCTTCATGCTGCTCATGCGGAACATTGTCAGGTCAGACTGTCCTCCACCTCGTGATCTCCCACCTAAGGCCTACTTCATGGGCATGCTGTGCTCAGAAGGGCCTTGCACTTGCTTTAAGCTCTGCTGCCTCCCTCCTGAAATGTGAACAATTCTCATTTTGCCTCTGTCACAGCAAATTATATAGTCAGTTCTGTTCCCAGCCCTGCCAGGCCTCTTACCCCCAACCTACCCCAACTCCCCATGCAGGGTGGTTGTCCTGGACAAAGTCACAGACCTGCTGCTGCTCTTTGGAAAACTGCTGGTAGTGGGATGTGTCGGTAAGGACCAGGGCGGGAGTTACAAGGAAGAGGGCAGGGGTGCTGGGAAGCTGAAGAGGTGACCTTAGAGGAGTGACACTGACCTCCAGACCTCTCCCACAGGGGTCCTGTCCTTCTTTTTTTTTACTGGTCGAATCCCAGGGCTGGGTAAAAACTTTGAGAGCCCCCACCTCAACTATTACTGGCTGCCTATCATGGTGAGTGACGCCCCCCCCCCCCCCCCCTCCCTTACCCCCTTAACTCCCCACAGCAACAAAAAACGGCTTGTGGCTTCCCA